GAAGAAAAGTGAAGGGAAGATATTGTCATCTCCTTTAGAGTCTTGTTAATTCAAAACAGAGGCAAAAAGGAAGCAGCATATAGCTAAGTAAAACGTGACTTAGCACTGAAGAGAAGAAATTTATTAAATCTTATCTAGCACCCTTACAGCTCACTGTAAACTTTTTACAGGGTAGATGAGCATACAACATATGAGATTTGGTGTTCCGGGCAGTTTCATCTGAGAAAGCTTTGCAGAATTCCTTTGTGACATAGCAGTGACCATATGGCCTTTCAATAGCTTATGCATTCCCCTTCCAGCCTTCCCTTCTCACTCACACTGATGTCATGCTGAAGTTGCATTTGCTTATTTTGTATTCATGTCTGATCTTAGAAAACTGAAGGAATGAACACAGGAAATTCTAAGGCAGGCTCTGTTTCCTACTCACTGATTGGCCTTAAACAAATTGTTTCTTCACCACTGCCCTTTGTAAAAAGGAGATAAACAATACCTACTTGTACCTTCTCAGTGGGGGTCGTGATACTGAGTGAGTCAGCAAGGGGTAAACAACCAGCAGGCTAAATGACCTAAAATTGACCCTTAAGATCATAATAGAGCAGTACTGAAATGCTAAACAGAGCCATTTTTTGCAGATAGCTATCAAATAGATTAGAGCTTTGACCTATCTCCTTAGATGTTAACAATAGAACCAATTTAGCTTGTAGCTTGTAGGAATATCTGTTCCTGTCTGTCACTACAGTTTATGGATTCAGAGATCAAAATGGAATATTATTATTTAGGTGAAAATTGTGTGTAGAGGTGTTAACCACTTCAGAGGGGGTAGCCATGTTAGTCTGCAGCTGGAAAAACTTAAAAAACAATGAACAGTCCAGCAGCACCGTACAGGCTAACAAAACATGTAGATGGCATCATGAGCTTTCATGGGCACAACCCACCTAACCAGTTAGGCTTACCGGTTACAGTTAACCAGCAGGGCTGCAGCACCCTCCTCCTACTGAACAGCCCTTGTCAGCGGTGGGCTTGGGGTGCTCCCACTCAGCCAATCCCCCCTGCCCATCACCCATTTAATCAGTTAACCAATTAAACTTAACATTTAATCGATTAACCAATTAAATGAGATTTTAATTGGGTTTAATAATATTGTCTATATTTCTCCAAAGTCTGTATTAAGCAGTCTAGAATGGTTAATTACCTTACCCTAATGAATGCAGCTAGTTACTGGTGTGTGCCTAGGAAACAGAGATATTACTTCAAAGCAATGATGTTCATTACTTATTCTTCATTTAAGGAATGTCTGCTGTGTTATCTGTCATCAAGAGACTGTTGTAGACTGGTAGGGGACTATAACTTTGTTTAAACTTTGTCAGGAGAAGCTCAAGTTGCAAGAGAGTGGTCTCCAGGTGTGCCCTAGATTATCCAGCAAATTCTCATGAAAGAATTTGAACAGACTCCATGCAAAAATTGCCTATTGGATTATAACTTTTTTAATTGATTCCAGAAGAACCTTTATAGCTCAACAACCTCACCAGCGCTGCAGTTTAACTGACCTAAGAACTTTATTCAGAGCTCCATATATAATGATCTTTAACCACAATATTCTCTCCTTTTTTAAATTGATTTTAGATTAGTTAATAAGAATTAACTGACTGCACATTTGGGTAAGGTCTGAAATATCCATTGACTTGGGGCTAATGTGTCCAATCTCTTAGGACTGGTAAAATTTCATATATAGTAAATAAGATGTTAAGTAAACCTCACCATATTTTAATTGGCTGTCTAGTTGGGAATCCGGAACTTGATTGCTTAAATTTCTTACAGGCACTGTCATATTGCACTCCCCAACCCTCTGTCCTGAGCCCCTCCCCCAAGGTGGCAATACAACATCACCTGCTGGGGACAGGGGTGCTCCAGAAATTTAAGTTACTTTCACCCCTGTTCCTTGCCTTCTAATAAGCTCATTTCCAAACACACACAACAGCCAGTATATACAAGACTGAACATGCCAGTTATTCTGGTGTAAATCCCTGTCAACACAGATGAATATGCTCTTTCATGTGAGAATAAAAGCTCTTCTCCTAACATTCGTACAAACAAGAGATGATCACCAGAACATTCACAGAAAAACAGACAAAAAGGGGTAGGCGTAAAGATATGGTTGGGGCAAATCAGATTGAGCAAACAGGTTTGCCCAGGCTTGCTCCAAAGGATAGCTGGAAAAGGAAAGCAGTCCCTACTTCAGTCACAATAACATCACAACTATCCCCATGGGCATTGAGAATGAAAGGCGGGGGAAGGCTCTGCCTTACCAAAGGGCCAGCATAGCCCCACCCACACTCTGAGGAGTTCCAGCAATAAACACAGAGTACAGCATATGGGACAGACAATTGGAGGCTTGGGGAAAGTAGGTGCTTCCTCCCACCCTCCAAATGCAGGGAATGCATTAATAACTGAACGTCCATATCAAACATCAAATTTTAAGAAAGTGGACAAATTTAAGCCTGGTTCAAAACAACTTATGGAAGTGATTTTCAGCAACTATTATTTTATTTAACTGTAGCCACCCCAAATTAAACACACAAACAGACTACACCCTGGCAGCACCAGAAAGAATATAGTAACTCAAGGGTGACTTTGCAGTGCAACTGTTCAGACTCAGATGCCCATCAACTGAGCTAGCTCTGCAACGTCACGTCTCAATCCAAAACCCACTGAATTCAATAAAAGCCTCTCAGTGACATCAAACAGGAACTGGCTCAAGCCCTTAGCAAGCTAGCTTCTCATCTGAAGAACAGTTAAAAAGTTTAGCTTAGGTCATAAGTGGAAACAAGTTTGCAGTTGGAAGGCCTCTCTTCCTAGTCCCTGTGAAAGTATGAAAGTGATTCAGACTAACTGGAAACTCACACTCAGGTGAGGCCCAGAATGAGAATATCTAAGGGTATATCTAGACTACAGGGTTTTTTCAAAAAAAGTGGCCTTTTTTCAAAAGAACTTCACTTGCATCTAGACTGCCGCCACGTTCTTTCGAAATTAAATCGAAAGAACACGGCGGTTTTTTCGACCGTGGTAAACCTCATTTTACGAGGAATAACGCCTTTTTTTGAAAGTGCTCTTTCGAAAAAAGGCGTTCTTGACGCAAACAGTGTTTTATCAAAAGAGAGCATCCAGACTGCCTGGGTGCTCTCTTTCAAATAAGCAGGTCTCTTTTTTTAAAAAAGTGGTTGCTGTCTAGATGATCTCTTTTGAAAGAAGCTTTTTTGAAAAAGTTTCTATCGAAAGAAGCATGTAGTGTAGATGCAGCCTAATACTATGAATAGACCATACCATCCGTGGAATGGTACTGAACCGGTCCCCTCTATGCGTGGCTCTGGCCTGTGCTATTAATGCCACTTTCACAAGCACCAGGTTGCCTCATGCTGTTTTGCTCTTTTGAGGTCTTTAGAGGACTATTTCCCCAACCTCCTGTGATCCCAGAATACTCTTTTCCCCTTCTGTGTCAGGACCAAAATATTAGTAGGGCAGCTATTGAGTAAAACTCATATTACTTCTGCCTACATTTTGTCTGGCCTTACGGGTGCCAGATGGCTTAACCAAAAATACTGAACACCCCTTCCCCCCCAAAAAAAATCCGGGAAAAAATTCTGTTGAGGGGGAAAAAAGGGGGGGGGAGACCAAAGTTGTTGAGCAAAATAAATAAATAAATAAATAAATAATAAAACAGCATTAAAACACATGGCCTATTTCAGAGTGCCTGCAGAGTCAGAATAGGGATAGGAACAGTGGGACAGTTGAGCACTAAGACCCAGGGAAGGCATTGCTTCCCCTTGATCTGTAGGCTTTTTGCCGGCTGCCATTTTGTGTGTAAGCGGGGGCTGATCTGCTGCTTGCTATCAGCCAGCTAAAAGGAGGGGTGGGTGTGCCCACTACAGTTGTTTAGCTCTGCAAGGTAATTAACTGTTAACTGTTGATATGTAAATACAGCTCAGGAGAGAATATGAGGTGTGGTTATGTAAATCCCATTCAGCCAGGGCTGATGGAGGGTCAGTGTTGGACTGGAATGTGGAGAATTGTAAATAATTTGGGACTGTTGTGGGGGTCACTAATCATGCTACCCCTAAATGTGGGAACTGTAAAACATGCCACCAGTGCTTGCAGGAGACACACCACCATCATGGTTAGAGGTCTCGGAGGAACAAGCCTCCCCCCCTTCCAGAGTAGAGTGAACTGAGCTGGGGGGAAGAGTTAAAGGGCTTGAGTCAGCCTGCTTCACACCTGCCAGGTGTGAGCTATAAGACAGGCCCTACCTGCCCCTTTCCCCTTTTGTTTTAAGGACAGACCTAAAGCAGACTCCTTCAGGAGTCTTTTCTTTTGTTAGTCCAGTGGAAGCTGGATTCATTTGCCAGTCCAGCTGGTGGCTAAAGAGTTGAAATCATGGAGAGCTGAAATCACTGGTTTGCCTGAGAGCCAGACCCATTGCAGCCAGTGGAGTGGCGGTGACTAGCAGAGTGGCTGGTGGGAATCACTGTCTGGTGGCATAACATGGCGTGGAGCAGCAGCAGGTGAGGAGTGACGACCAGCGGCGGCGGCAGGCGAGGAGCGGCGGCAGGTGACCAGCGGAGCGTCCGGTGGTGTGGGACGAGACAGCTGGTGGAGTGTCATAAGGTGCCCCCTACCTATCCCACCACCCCCATTTCTACCCAGGTTGGGAGGTGAAACCCTGCGGGTGAACTTTGGGACTCTGGGTGGCACAGGACAGAGATTTTGGGGGTGTCGGACTCTTTGGACTTCAGGTGATTCTTGGCTGGAGGGGACTTAGCTCATGTTTGGGTTATGAACTCTGTTTGTGGTGTTTCCTCCAAGTTAATGCCGTATGACTTCTCTCTCTCTTTCATTAAATGTTTCTTTCCTACACTCAGACTCTGTGCTTGCGCGTGGGGAAGCATTGCCTCTCAGAGGCACCCAGAGGTGTGTGAATTTCCCAGATTACTGGGTGGGGGCTCGAGCTGGTTCTGTGTGAGATGGACCCCAAGATATTGAACCCAGCCCTGGTTACTGCCAGGCCTACCCGGCAGAAGTGTTACATATGTTATTGATCAAGCCAAAACGCAGCTTCCTTGCAGAACCAGGTAAGCAGGGGATGTCAGGGGCCTGGAGGGCAGTTGCTGAGTATGTCGTAGGGTTGCCGGGTGTCCGGTATTTTCACCTCCTGGCAGGGGGAAAAAAAAAAATCAGAAAATACCGGACATTTTAGGTGTCTGGTATTTTCTGAATTTTTTTTACCCGACAGGAGGCAAAAATACCAGACTGTCTGGGTCAATACCGGACACCTGGCAACCCTATTGGTCTGCAGATTTATTTTCTAAATCTGTTGACTCTTTAGCCTTAACCAGCAGCAACATTCATCAAAACAATCATATATTGCTGTATATATCTAAAGAACTTTTTATGTCCCCAAAATAATATGATTCTTCCCAGGAGTATTTGAGGGCTTGTCTATACTGGCAAGTTACTGTACTGTAACTTTCTCACTCAGAGGTATAAAAAACAGTCCCCCAACACAGCAAGTTACAGCGCTGTAAAGCACCAGTGTAATCAGGCTCCCAGTACCATTAGTTACTCCCCTCATGGAGGTGGTTTACCTAGAGCACTGGAGATTTCTCTCCCATCCCAGTGCTGGAGCCCTGACCACATTCAGTGCAGAGAAAGCCTAAGTAATCTGTCTGCTCTGCCTTTTGCATCAGAACATGGAAACCAGCTGAATACACACAGGATAAATGGCAACATAACTAAGTGCTGAGAGGCAGGGAAACATGTTGATTTCCCACATGCTTGAAAGAAATGGTTTATAGAGCTCAATGAGTGTCACAAATTTTCCTTTTAATATAGTCTGTGTTTATTGCAGTTTTTATGAATATAGAAAGGAGCCTACCAGTCCTTATGAATAACCTGCATTCTTCCACTGGACCCTTGGACTGAATTCCTGTTTACTTTGTAGAGAATGTGAGAGACTTGTAGTCTGCCAAAAGCCGTTAAGACAATAAAAACACAGCCAAAGGCTGTCACAAGTGTGGAAGTCACAGAGAAAGTTAATGTGTTAACTTCAAGGACGACAGAGAGAGATTTGCCAAACCAAATAGGAGACTGGAGTTTGGTTTATGTATCATGTATATAATTTTAATTCAAATGACATATTTTCAAGCACTTTCCCCCAAAAAAAGTTATTTGGCTTTTTTCTTTGTTTATAATCATGAAGAGGAAGTTTCCTTCCTTAAATCTGTCCTTTTCCATTTGGCGAAGGTAAGTATTTTCTCTAGTCCAGTCTTTCTTATACAGAGCACCAGCCAGCATAGCTGCATTTTAGACTCATCCAACAACATTTTGATGAAGTCATTTTACAACAAAGCTGAGAGAGAATTCTGTGCTTCCTGTGCTGACTCTGTAGCAGTTCAATACAACAGTGTAAGCTCACTATTGTTTGGGGTATTTTGTTGTGTAGTTTTTCAATGATAGGATAATGATTTTAAAATCTAAACATGCTATTTAGTGTTCTTCCCAGCAGAAAAATATTTATATTCTCCACAAGCTCTTGAAGGACAGAGATTCTGATGCCAGAGACAAACTTATTGAAAGGAAAAATCAGCTTAATATAGAAGCCTATATTAACCAAAAACACTAAACTAACAAAAAACACCACAAAGACTTATTTATACAGGAAAAACTCTTTATACAGGAAACCCTTGCTAATCATAGTGGACACATTCCTAGCACCACTGCAAATGTCGATATTCGTGAATACTAGTAGTCACAACTCCTGGCCCTCCATGGTGAACTCCCCACAGCTCCCAAATTCACTGTAACTCCCAGCAACCATGGGGGACTCACCACATGATTTGCTCACGGCTCCTTCTATCTCAACTGCCCCTTAGCCTGGGATAGGAGACAGCTGCAAATACAATGGACTGTGAGTAACAATTCCACAAATCACAAGGATCTCCTGTATTGTTAATTTCTATTGCTATTTTAGATATTCTTACATTTTATTTAATCAAAGTGAACACACTTCTATATTAAATTGCAACATTTATATGCACTGTATTCCCTTAGTTGATACTATTACACAATTTCCTTTATAAATTGGAAAAATCAAAACTGTTTCTTATTGCATGTAATTTTTCTTTTTAAAGAGAAAGTTTCTCTCTCTGAAAAGTGTTTTGAACCATTCAACTGGGAGGCATGATGCACAGATTTCTCTCTCTCTCTCTCTCTCTCTGGTTCATTTTCCTCCATTCTTCTTTCTAGTACTTTTGTAAAAGCTCTTCTTATCTCCCTTGAAGTCATTTTCCAGACTTAGCTGTTTCAGTTTTAAAGCTATTTATTTGGAAGTTAAGCACGTTTAAGTGCTCTCCTGAACAAAGGCCCAGAAGTGATGACTTGATGAAACTGCAGTGGAAATACAAGCAAGGCAGTATATATCTGGTAGTATATATCTGGCCCCACCAAAAATAGAAAATACTAGAAATTTCAGGGATTTCCCAAGACCCATTCTAGGGGGTGGGGATGGGAAGAGGTGTACAGCCCCCTGGGATTTCCCCAACTCTTCTCTTCCCCCCCTTATATTCAGTGTTTAGGATTGCCAGATGGTTTCAACAAAAATACCGGTCACACTTGACATTATGTAACAATCGTTACATGTTATTTAGAAAATACTGGACATTTATATTTTCTCAATTTGTTTCCCAAACAGAAAGCTCAAATACTGTACTGTCCGGTTCAAAACCAGACCCTGGCAACCCTATCAGCGTTGCTAATTTAGTTGGTTGGAAATTTGAATTTAAATTACACACTTTAAAAGCAAATACAGTATAGGCAAAAATATTTATACCTGAGAAAGCATAATGGGTTTGAAAAATATGAACAAAGACTCGCTTTTTCATACAGCTGTTACTTATGACAAGGTTGGCGCCTATGTTTCAGCTATATTGGCCTACCTCATAGTTTCAAATTATGATTTGTCAGCAAGGTCTGACCGAGCTCTCCTCTGACAGCCAGTGATGGGTGAAAACGCTTCAAGACCAGACTGTACTTACATGAACTTACCTACTCTGCCTAGGTATCCTGCGCCCTATCCCCTAGGCCATGCCAGAACCCGCCCCACCACCTTTCCGTCAGGGCACTCTTATCCACGGGGCAGCCCGTGAGCCTAGGCGAACTAGGCAGTTGCCTACAGCACCGCTGGCCCGAGTGCTCGATGATGATGTCACAGGGTGCAAGGGCGCCTCCTGATGACATCACGGCCATTGACGGCCGTGCAGGCGAGGGCGCTTATCGCGCCGCCCGCCTGGGGCGCCAGCTGCCGCAGCCGGCCTCAGACTGCTCTTGCTTATCCCTCCTTCCCCGGGGCTGCCGCGCTTTTGGGCGACCCCACCTGGGGGAGGCGGGACTTGAACGCACGACTCTGCCCTCCCCAGGTGATCAATTTTGGCTGGTGTTGGGTTACAAATGACTTTAGTATTAATGAGGGGAGTAATTAAATGTTTTTGTCCTTACTGCATGAGTAGAGGGCAGCAGAACTGCACTTAGCCTAAATGAGGGGGTCTCCCGCAGTGCTTAATTTGTGTTAGGGCTTGCCAAGGCTGAGCCCCAGTACCAACAGGCATGGCAGTTTATAGCCTGCCATGTCAGTTATGAAAGTAACAAACTAGCTTGAGTCCCAGCACCTCTTTCATTACCAGTTAAGCACTGGTCACCCTCAGCTGAACTGCACTTCCTAAGCAGGCGGTTTGGATGCTAAATCTACAGTGACCACATTTTCCAAACCAAAATTGGGGACACATGATACAAGTGCCCTACCATCAATCAAACATTAGCCACGCCTGCTGACCTCATTAGCCACACCCTGGGCCCCACTAACCACACCCACCTGCCACAGGAAGTCCCACCCCTGGGGGTAGTACTTCCGGGGTCAAGATGGACACATGATCAGAAGTAAAGGGCAGGATATGTATGGTAGTGTTGTACACAGGGATAGGATGTGTGAGTAGGCTCTGGTGGCACAACAGGGTGTGGGGGGACTGGGTGTGGCACTGTGCACAGGGGAAGGGTGTGAGTAGGTGCTGGTGGCACTGTGGGCAGGGTGTGGAAATGGCACTGTGGGGGGCAGGGTGTGGAGGTGGCACCGTGTGCAAGGGCAGGGTGTGCGTGGTGGCGCTGTGTGCAGGGTGTGGAGGGGGCGCTGTGTGCAGGGGCAGGGTGTGGAAGTGGTGCTGGGTGCAGAGTGTGCATGGTGGCACTGTGTGCAGGATTGAGAGGTGTGCTGTGGGCAGGGGCAGGGTGTGGAGGAGGCACTGTGTGCAAGGGCAAGATGTGGAGGTGGTACTGTGTGCAGGGTGTGGAGGTGATGCTATGTGCAGGGGCAGGGTGTGGAGATGATGCTATGTGCAGCTGTGGAGGAGGCGCTGTGTGCAGGAGCAGGGTGGGGAGGTGGCGCTGTGTGTAGGATGTGGAGGTGGCGCTGTGTGCAAGGGTAGGGTGTGTGTGGTGGCGCTGTGTGCAGGGGCAGGGTGTGCGTGACAGCGCTGTGTGCAGGGCGTGGAGACGACACTGTGCAGTGTGTGGAGGTGGCACTGTGTGCAGGGGCAGTGCTGTGTGCAGGGGCAGTGGCTGTGCTGGAGCTGTGGAGAGGAGTAGGGGGCATGTGAGGACAGTGGGCTTCGTGGGGAGCTGGTGCGGGCTCCTGGGTGGGGGGTTTCTGTACACAATGAGCTGGGCTGGTGCCAGTGACATGTAGAGGAAGGCCCAACTCCCCCCCCCCCCCCC